GCTCCATGAGAGAAAGATGTGCAGTCTCCTTCTATGCGATTAAATTTCCTCTGTAAACCCACTGGAGGGTCAGCTATGGGGTAACTCTGACTTGATGGTACACAACAACAATAGAGGTGGAGAAGAGATGGAGGTTGTTAACAACTCCAGCTTGCTTGGTTCCACAGTCCACTCTCTTGGCACCATCAGTCAGGAAATCAAAAGACAAACTGCATTAGGAAAATCTACTGTCAAGGATCTATCCAGAATGCTGAAAAGCAAAGATGTCAGTCTAGAGATTAAGGTGCGGCCGATCTGGCCATGGTGTGGAGGATGGGAGCTAACAACAAGACAACAAGGAACTAACAAGAGCTTCTGGGGATTCTGCCTTCAGCCCCATTCCCCTTTTGTTGCTGGCATATAATCTTCCTGCTGAAGTCAAACCTGCAGTGATTCCTGTGAAAACTCTTAATTCAAACTGATGGTCTACCCTGCCTGGCAGCCAGCTGTACATTCATATTCCCAGTTTAATGTAAGGAGGATTTCTTTATTCTGAATCCTGGCACCTAAATACCTCACGAGAGCTTTTTCTAGAGATGTATGTGCATCCTTGGAAACTGCTTTGCATACACTAGAGACTTATTTTTACAACCTTGTTACAGAAAGTGTGGACCAAAACGAGACCCTCTGCCACTGAGTCAGTTGTGACTACAGCAATCATCCATCGCTTTCTTTGGGTCATAATAGACTGCCTCGCTCACTCCCTCAGAGCAGCTGCTGAAGTCTTAATTACTCATTTTTGCCAGTGTCCTTAGTCCCAAAGTGTAACTTCTTGTGTAATGGGTCTTGGTCTTACCGTCATTCCTAAAATGTTTCCGTGTCAACCAGTTATTTTTGGTGCAGTGACTCTGTATGTTCCTTCCATCTTCTTTTGATGCTTAGTGCATCCTTTATAAGATTTTGCCCTTAGAATACTTCAGCTTATCAAGTCGAGGCTTGAATTTGTCTTTCAGTTCATTTGGCTTGAGGTTCAGCTTGAGGTACCAGCATCTCAGTGGAAGAAAGAGAGACAATCTCCTCTCAGGCAATTAATAAACTCTAAAAATCTGCTGAAGGATCAGCTATGAGTTGGTCCCTACTTGCAGGCACGTAATGACAACAAACTACTTCCTTAAGTAGTTCTCATGGCCAAGTAGGTAGGAAGTTGTGCTGGCACCCCAAAGATGGCCCCTTTGTGGTGGTCCCAGTCAGCTGGTGGCTCTTCTTGGATGTCCTTGCTTCTGAGCTCTTTGGAGAGGCTCTCTCAAGACAGCGGCTTTTCCCAGTGTCACAAGTCTTTAGATTTTGAGTGCTGCTACTATGGGTGTTGAATGAAATCTTTAGCAACTTTAATCTTTTCTCCATCAATTATGATAACTTTATGTAGATGATGCAACCTTCTTTGCAGAAACTGAAGATGACATGAATCACTCACTGATAATTGGACTGCGGCCTTCAATATGGATTGAGGCTCAATATTAAGAAAACAAAGATAAGGGGAGCTCTGGTGGCCTAGTGGTAAGGAGCTGCAACTACAATCCCAGAGGCGCACGGTTCAAATCCACCAGATGCTCTGCCGGGAAAGGAGGGACAATCTCCTCCTGTACTAGTCAGATCTGATTTGACGGTACACTCACACAAAAATAATAAAATAAAAAAAAATTCTTTAAAGAAAACAAAACAAAAAACAAAGATCTCACCACTGGGCCGATTGGCAGCATCAGGATAGATGGTGAAGAGATTGAGATTGTTTACAGCTTTAGTTTTTGCTTGGCTCCACAGTCAACACTCTTGACACCAGAAACCAGAAAATTAAGAGACCAGAAGCCAGGAAATTAAAAGATGTATGTCTGCTGTTAGGGACCTCTCCAAAGTACTGAATAGCAATGGTGTCACTCTGGAGACTAAGGTGCACCTGGTATAGGCCATGGTCTTTGCAATCACTTGCTGTGTGTTAGAGAGCTGGATAATGACTAGGGAGGATAGAAGGAAATTTGATGCCTTTGAGTCGTGGTGTTGAAGAAGAGTATTGAATGCTAAAAAAATGAACAAGTTCATCTGGGAGAGGGTTAAACCAGGCTGCTCCTTGGAGACAAGGATTCTGAAGCTTCATCTGACATTCTTTGGACATGTTGCAAGGAGGGACTGGTCCTTGCAGAAGGACATAATGCTTGGGAGGGTGGAAGGACAGCGCAGGAGGGGAAGACCCTCTATGAGGTAGATTGATTCAGTGACTGGGATAATCAGTGAGGGTGTGTCGCAGACAGTGAAGTTGACCCAGGATGGAGAAGTATTTATGGCTGTTGTACATAGCTGTGAGTTGCAGGTGACTTTGACAGCACAGAACAACAAGAAACCTCTATTGTGAGACAAGTGTTCCTTATATCTTACATAGAATTATAAATTTATCTGAACTTGGCAGAGTGAGGAAGTAAGGAAATAATTCTGTCAGCACAAGCAGTTATCTCTGCTTGGTCAGAACAGAGCAAGGAGCCACTACATGGTTCAAAATCAAGAAGGGGATACGTCAGGGATGTGTTTTGTCTCCATACCTTTTCAGTCTGTATGCGGAACAGATCATCCGAGACGCTGACCTGTATGAGGAGGAATGTGGCATCAGGATTGGTGGAAGAGTCAACAACCTGCGTTATGCGGATGACACAACCCTGCTTGCTGAAACTGAGGAGGACCTGAAGTGCTTGCTGCAGAAGGTCAAGGACTGCA